TAGGAAAGCAACCATTGCTACCACACCGCCTCTGGTCACTTTCAGTACTGCTGCCCGCACCATCAGACACGGTAAAGCCAAACAAAGCAGAACAGGATACAACCAACCAAAACAAAACACTGAATAAACAAAACAACAAAATGGAGCAAAATGAAACTGTGAGAACAATACTGGATTTCAAAAACAAGACAAGAAAATCCCCCCTAGTTGCTACATTGCAGAGTTATCCTCTAAATAGAGGCTCAGACCATGGCCCCAGGCCTGCAAAGTCAGTCAAACAGGTCGAGAATTCAGTTGTGTTGTACCTCTGTCACTGTCATCCCAGTCTGTGTTCCTCTGAGTCAGCCAGTTGCTGAGGGGGACAGGGGACAGCGATGCTGGGCTGTTGTGGTCCCCCTGCCCCTGCTCACTGGCTCACTGGAAGGCACTTCCTGTTTCTCCTCCTGCCCACAGTCACCACTGGCAGACAGGAGGGTGCATTTGTTTCTCCTCCTGGCTCACGGGCATTGTTTTTGATTTTGAATGCTAACATACATATTTTTTGGTTGGGTATTTTTTTGTCATTTTGAGACAAGGACTCACTATGCAGCTCAGGGTGGCCTTGAGCTCACTTTGCAGCCCAGACTGGTCTCAAACTCACAACGATCCTCCCGCCTCAGCTCACAAGTGCTGGGATGACAGGTGCGCCACCATGCCCAGCTCTTTTGGGGTTTTTATTAGTATGTATTGTCATACTTAACAAGTGTATTTATCTCGAGGAACCCGCACACGCTACATTGGGATTTCCTTTACCTCCTCTCCCCTGCCGTCCTCCCATCCCTGCTCCCACATCCCATCTCCACAGAGGCTACCGAGGTCCATCTCCTGTCTACAGATGTAAACTCTGGGGCACAACCAGCCAAGGTCACAGGACGGTGACAGCCCTTCCCTGTCACAGCGAATTCTGGCACCCCAGCCGCCCCTGGAGGGCCACACACAGTGTGTGAGGGGAGGCGACTGTACGACTCAGCGCGATGATTCCGGCCCGTGTGATATCCACTGAGATTCTATTTCCTAATTGCATTTCATCCAATGTGAAGAACTTTTTTTTTCTAACAGAGAGAGACTGCTGCGGAAGACAGTGATCCATCCACCAGAAGCGACCACTGTGACTCCCCAAGGGCTGAGCCTTCCTCCCCTTCCCTGGCTGGTCTCGCCTCCCTTCTACTCTCCTGTGTTTTTGTTTGCTCCTTATTTTGGGACAGAGTCTCCCGCAGGGTCCTATGACCTCCTTCCTGTAAAAAGCACAGGAACTCGTGACTGTTTAGCCGGGTGGCAGGGAGAGCCCTCCAGCCCGAGTGCTGAGCTGCTCCTCTGCCTGGCCGCTGTGGTCTGCTTTCCTCAGTGTGACCCTCAGCTGCTGGGCCCTTTCCCTGGCTCTCGGCTCTCCAGGTCTAAAACACTCCTCCTCAATGCCCATATAGAAAACTCCAAGCCCAAGCTATTATTTTTGTGTGTGTGATTTTTATTTTAAAGAGAATAAAGCCAATCAAAACAAAACAGTGTAAGTGATGCAGGACTTTGAAACAAGATAATAGGAAATCAACAAGGGTCACCATGATTGATGCCTCTTGTTGTCTTCAGAATAGCTGCCCATGCCATCAGACAGCAGAAATCAAAATAAAACAGAATAGAACCATTAAAAACAATGAATGCAATACAGGACTTCAAAACAAGATAATAGGAAATCCAAAATGGCCAATACATCTTGTCTTTGAAATAGCTGCCCATGCCATCAGATATAATAAAATCAAACAAGACGAAACAGAAAAAAACCCAACAAAACAATGAAAATGATGCAGGACTTGGAAAAAAGATAGTAGGGAATTAACAATGGCTACAAGTGCCTAGACCCCTAAGCCCCCAAATAGATGCACAGTGAAGGCTCAAAGGAATGGACATGTGGCATGGTCTTTAGGGCTGCAGGAAGAGGGAAATCCTCGGCAGAGCTCGTAGCTCTGCTAGCCACAGCCGGCCGACTGACGCTGGGCAGCCCGTATTTAATCAGAACAGGCAAGGAGTTGAGTGGACAAGGGAGGAAACCTGAGCAGGATCTTGGGAGGGATCAAGGGGGATCAACCCTCAGAGCTAATTCAGACGATGCTAATTAAGGAAAACTACCAACAAAGTGTCCAGGTGGCCTCAGCTGTGGCCTATTCTGCCCTCTGCAGTGTCTCCTGGTTCTCAGTTCAGCCATGCCCAGGCCATGCCACAGCCCTGCACATGTGTTCAGCTTCAGTGCCCTCCAACAGCCACCACCCTCAGCAGGAGATCCCCGTAGATGCCACACTGCAGATCGCCATCCTCTGAATGGATGATCAGTCTACCGGCTTTAGGCCTGCAGAGTCAGTGAAACACTAAACACCACAAGCATTAAATCGTATTTTACCTCAGTAGCCATCATCACAGCCTGTGTTTCCTCAGCCCGTGGCTTGCGGTGGGTGGGTCGGGGGGATCTTGGCTCTTGTCTCCCAGCCTGTGTGCTGGAAGGGGCTGGCATCTGGCATCTAGCTCTCCCTCTCAGTGGCCTGCACATGGCGCCAGCTTGCAGGGAGGGCTTGCTTTTCGTTGACTTCTTGTTCTCCTCCCCCAGACTGCAAACAGTGCTGACTCACAGGAAGAGGCTGGCATCTGGTTCTGTCCCCAGCGGCCTGCACATCAAGGCCAAGTTCTTTCTCCTGGATGCTTTGCTCTTTCCAAAAGGCTGCCCTGTGTACCTGTACAGATTGTGCACTGCACAACTGTAATCCATCTGCAGGAAATAAAATACAACCTCCCCTCTCAGAATCCTACAGTGCACAACTTACAACAACCCCACCATACATAACCCCTTCTATACATTTCCTACTTTGCCCCTAAAAATACGTCTGTAGCTCTTCTATTTGTCAGGCACTAAAGACCACAGACACAAAGACGAGCATGATCAAGTCTTGCCGGAAACAGTCACATAATCAAATGGAATGTGTACCACACAAGTCTTTCTGATGGGAGGCGTGTTGTCTTATGTATCACAGCCCATGACTCACACTATGCTTTCTGCACTATAGGGCCTCAGGATTTTCCAGCAGTGCCAGTGGTACCAAAAGCAAGGAAAGCCATGAACTGGCTGTTTATACGGCACTGAACCGAAAGTGCACATTCAGGGCTGTGCAGAGACCGTGCCCTCCTGCGTGTCCCTGACTCACTGGGCTTGTGACTAGGCTGTGTTTCCCAGCATTCTTTGCAGTCAGGTGCAGCCTGCATTTCCCAGCATCCTTTGCAGCTAGGTAGGCCACGAGGCTGCATTTTAAGCTGTGGCAAGGGATGTGGATGACATGTATCTGAGTTTGCTCTGGAAAAACCTTTCTGCTTGATCTATATTCTCTCGTCCTCTGCTAACCAAGGAGAGAGTGCTGGGGGAGGAGCCGGGGCCACGAGGGTTCTCAGGTCGCAGGTTATCCACGCTGGGTGAACACACTCCACTCCTGTGCGAGTGGGCCTGAGATAAACCCGCACAGCCCGGCTCCTCCGAAGCCAGCTGGTGTCACTGCTGCAAGTTCTCCCGGTCGCCCACGCAGCGCTCAGTCCGTGTGGCTTTCCCGGCTGACAGCTGGCAGAGGCCTGCTCTTCCAAAAGCGCATTTCCTCGTGCATGGGCGCGGCCTCGTCCCCCTAGACCGGATATAATGGCCTTGTCCAGCCTCTTACTTCCGTCCTCTTGATATAGGGGAATGAAACCCCAACCTACTAGGTCTCTAAAATCGAAGAATGAATTTTAGGAACAACAGAGATGAAGAGCAGAAATATTTATTGAGAGAAGGAAAGCTGTCCCGAGCGGGCTGCCCAACACTGTCTCCTCCAGGGACTTTTACAGAGTGGAACCCTGGCTTCACGGCGGGGGAAGACTGGGACTCACAAAGCAGATGGGCACAGGTGGGACATAACTATAGTTAGCCCATAAGATCAATAGTTCAGATAAAATTGTTTAAATTGGGCACAAATGGGAAAGCAGGTCGCGTAGGAAGCGGGCATTCTTAGAGATCAGTGACTCCTCCGCTAGGGGACTGCGATGGCGACCCCTGACCTCAAGGTGAGCCAGATTTAATCCCTAAGGATTATACTTAGGGTGTGGCTGCTTTTGTTTTGCTTTGTCTTGAGATCTGGCCCATAGCAAGCCGTGTGTGTCCCCTGCAAGGTCATCAGATATCCCGTCCTCCGTGCCGCTTCCCCGAGGGCCCAAGCCCTGTGGGACCGCCTGTAATATCTACCTGGCTCAGCTGCCCGGCGCAGTGAGTGGGCACAGGCCCGTTCCCTAGAGTACACTTCTGCAAGGCCACAGGAGATTCAGGCGCAGCGGGAGGGGGCTCCGTGGTGGCCGCAGGACGGTGACCCCGCACCCCGCAGGCCAACGCAGGCACCTGGCGCTGCACACTGCGGGGAGAGCTGGTCCACGCTTCCGCTTCAGACGCGGCAGAGCCCGAGACTCCTGGGGCCTGGTGAGGGTCAGCGAGCTGTGCGGCACGCGGGGAGCTTTTCTTCTGTGTTTTCTCTTTCCTTCTTCCTTTGTGTAGCTCATTCACTGGTCACTGGTCACTGGTCACTGCATCTACCTACGCCGGGCACCTTCACCCCGTCCTGCAAAGCTATTCCCTCTGTCTGTCTGTCTGTCTGATGCCTCCATTTTGCAGGTGATGCTCACGCCACCCCGGGAAATTTAGGCAGCTAGAGGTGGGGGCGCAGGAAGCCCAGGTGGTCGCTTCGGGATCCCAGAGAACCGGAGTAGGGCGCAGCCAGAGCCGACGCCGTGCGGTGCCGAAGCCCAGGATCCTGGTACTGTGCCAGGGACCGAACCCCCAGCCACACACAGGCTGGGCCAGTGGCTTCCACGGAGCCCCACCTCCAGCCCCGCGCGCATGCGCATGTCATAGTGCTCCCCATGCGGTGCTTTCGCCACCCCACGAGCGCATGCGCACGTATGGACTCTGCTGCAGAGAATTCGAATGCTGACGCGCAGGGCCCACTTCATCGCCGGATCTGTCACCGGGAAGGCTAAGGCTATTCTGCAGAGCGTCCCTCTCCGGTGTGCGAGAACCAGGGAGTACCCCGCCTTCAGCACAGCGCTGGCCCTCGGGAGATTTGCAGCACAGTCGTGAAATTGTGAGCAAGAAAAGAAATGGGTAGGGCTGCAGAGTCCGGTGAGGGCGGTGAGGGCGCGGGGCTGCGGGCTGAGGGGGCACGATCCAGGCAGTAGGAGGCCCCCAGGCTGGGCTTGCGCTTTTCCAGTGCAAAAATAGTCACGAACTACATAAAACTTCCAATACCTGTTCCACAGGGGTAATTTCTGCAGAATTAGACCAGCCGTAAGGTTTATTGTGTAACATAATGAAGCCACCTGTTTAAGACGTCGGGCTGCAAAGCCGGGACCTGGGCCTTGGGAAGAGTAAGACTGCGGTGATTTCCAGGTTCAAGTGAGTCTTCAAAAAAAAAGCGAGATCACCAAATTTGTCTATTCTCTCCTACCACATGGGTTTCTCTGAGGTTTAATAATATTATAAATAGCCGGGCGTGGTGGTGCCCACCTGTCATCCCAGCCCTCAAGAGGCTGACGCAGGAGAATCTTGGCAGATTCAAGTCCAACCTGGCTATGTAGCGAGCTCAGGGCCAGCCTGAACTGTGTAAATGCCAAAGAAGAAAACGCAAAAGAAGAAAAAAAGAAAGAAAGCAAGAAAGAATATTATAAATAAAGCAGTTTTGAGGTTAAATACAAAAAAGGGGGCAGAATTTTAGAGACATTTTGAAAAAGCAAAGATTCTGTCTGGTGTTGCCAGGCTTAGTGTAAGAACAGGGAGAAGTCATTTGTTCTATCAAGAAAACATGAATACTGGCTTTCCCCTGGTTTTTGAGACAGGCTCTCACTATGTAGTCCAGGCTGGTTTGAACTCACTCTGTAGCGCAGGCTGGCCTCAAACCTGTGGCAGTCCTCCTGCCTCAGCCTCCACATGCTCGGATGACAGGCGTGCACCGCCACACACAGCAGTGAAGTGCTGGTTTTGTATTGGGTCAGCCTCTTTCAGCTGTAACCCGGCTGGGCACTGTTAAAAGGATTCTGAAATTCCTAGAGAAATAATTCATTTCAGCTATGTAAACGCATTGTATTTTATTCTGAATATTTTCTCATCAAGAAATTGGAAACAGAACAGTTTGTTGAAAGAGGATGTCTGCAGGTCGCCTGTGTCCGCACGGTGGATATTTGAGCGGCCTCCAGGACCTGGCTTAGCCGAGCTCGGGGTCCTCACGGCCTGCTGAGGGCGCTGGCCCACTGTCAGTGCACCTCATTATTTGCTCAGATAACCGTGCGGAGCCGGAGATTGGAATTCTGATGGTGATTTTCACATATTACATTTCTCTCCCCACACAGCGTCCTGCATGGCTGTTTCTCTTTTCTTGCCCTCTTGGCAAGACACTCCCTTCTCAAAGGATATTAAAAATCTGTTTTATCTCTAAAAGCTTGGCATGAGCTAAGGGATTAGGGTTTAATCCCACATCGGTCTGTGTGGTTGGCTGCAGCCTTTGTTGGTATTTTGGAAGGTGACAGTGCCCTTCTGTCACTGCGCTAGGCACATTCGCTCTGTAGGACCCGGAGCCACAGTGCAGCTGCTGGGACTCACGTCCCTCAAACAAATGGAGGTGACAAGGGTGTCCAGGGTCTTTAGGGGTGGGCAGGAGATAGCACACACTGATGGTCTGGCCTGGTGAAGGTCTGGGGCTCTGATCTCCAACACACTCCCAGAAGATGCTGTGTGAGCCCAAGCAACCCGCTGGGGGACAGAGGAACAAAAGTTGTGGGTGTAGTAGTCATGGGTTCAGATCCTGTTTTTCTGGTTAAGGATTTGTTGCTTTGGAGGTTTTTTTTTTTTTTTTTTTTTTTTTTTTTTTTTTTTGGTATCAAGAATCGAACTCAGGACCTTGCATTTGCCATGTAGGTGCTTGTGCTGCTGAGCTGCGTCACCAGCTATTTCTTAAACTACTCTGAAGCCTTAGATTCCTCATCTGCTCGACACAAGTTTCATGAAGATTAGAGAAAATGACGGCTAGAAGGCACGCGGTCAGGTGTTTAACACACAGGAAGTGAGGAGGTTTCCTTTCTGGGGGCTCATGGGGTGATGCTCTGTGCTCTGCTTCATGGCCTTGTGTACCTGGGGCTCTGTTATCAGGAGCCCCTAGAGCAGGGGATGGGGCACTGGAGCAGTGGACAGCGGGTCACCTCAGGCTCCCATGACCCCTTGACACCACAATATTGTGACCCTTGCGCCTGTCTTCAGGCATTCCAACCAAACACCATACCAAAGGTTTGTCTGATTCCTCTGAATTATTTTTTCACTTACATAGTTTTATAGTTCCGTGGCTGTGCCTGCTTATGAATGATCTTGCTAAGGACATCAGTTTATTTTCAAAATCAAATTCAAAAGCCAGGCATGGTGACTCACGCCTATAATTCCAGCGCCCAGGAAGCTGAGGCAGGAGAATCTTTGGGAGTTGGAGGCCAGTCTGGGCCACAAAATGAGCTCAAGACCAGCCTGAACTGCAGGTTGAGACCCTGTCTCAAAAATAAAAATAAAAATAAAAATAAAATCAGACTGAACTCTTTGGCAGCTAGTATCTTTTCTCCCCATACGATACTATTAGGTTCTGTCAAAACAACATCCTGGGCTGGGGATTTAGCTCAGTGGCATAAGCACCTGCCTTGTGAGTTCAATCCCCGGTACCGAGTAAAAAAAAAATGAAAACAACATACTAATCCATTTAAATCTGGGATTTTTATTGTCCTGTGAAAGTTGAAATTGGTTCTGCATTACCCAAAGCAGCCAATCCAGCAGGATACAGGTATTGGATTTACAGTGAACACGTGGTGAAAGAATCACTTAAAATCCCTGATGTGCTTTGTTTCAATTTATTTAAAAAAAAAAACACAACAAAGCTTATGGTTTCCTTTTTTTAAAAATCTTTTTGAGACAGGGTCTCCCTATGCAGTTCAGACTGGCTTTGAGCTACTATGTAGCGCAGGCTGGTCTAAACTTTGCAATGATCCTCCTGCCTCAGTCTCTCCAGTGCGTGTGAGACCACATCCTGCTGCATATTTGTTTAAAAAATAGAAAGTCACAAAAATCTTAGCCAAATCAGACCAGATTTTATAAACGCATTTGTTTTGCATGGAATCATTTGTTCGCTTGTTCCTCTAGCACCGAATCCCACTTATTAGTGGGGACAAAGGCGGGGGTGACACGACGATAAGCTGTCCCCTGGGAAGTGAAGACGTAGCGGTCCAGCCCAGCTCACTGTGCCCACAGTGCCCCCACCCCACCAGGAGACCCCGCCCCCGCCCGCTCCAGAAACCGGGGGGGGGGGGGGGGGCTCGAGTTCTGCTCCACAGACCACCGGGGTCTCCGCCCAGAGCCCGCGATGCTAAATCAGCCCGAGCTCCTGGGGGTGAGGGCCCGGATTATCCCCGGACCGGGAGACCTCGCCCTCCGCTCCGGGATGCTCCTGCACCCCAGGGACCCCAGGTCCCCCCTCCTCGGCCCAGAGCTCGGGGACCCTGACCTGCCCAGCCGCGGGTGTCCCCTTCACCCCGCTCCTGCAGGACAGGACGGCCCCGCCCTCCAGGGCCCCTCCCCTTCTCCCCTCCCCCTCCGGGGCCCCCCACTGCGCTCAGCCCCCTCTGGGGCTCCCCCTTATCGGGGCGCTGCGCAAATACAGCTCACGAGTGGGAACTGAACCGAATCACAACCGTTCCGGCCTCGACCCAGTCACTCAAGGGGACCGAGCCAGGGGGTGGCCCGGGCTGTGCACTGCGGGGGACACACGCCTGCGGCTTCGGCTTCTGGCGATTCTCTGTGGTCTGTGTACTGGGGTCTCCCGATGCCAGTGTCACTGATGTAGGGCAATGAAACTCACAGCCTACTATGTCCCCGAATTCGTGTTCTCTAAAATCGAAGAATGAATTTTAGAACAACGGAGGTGAAGGGTAGAATATATTAACTGAGAGAAAGAAAGCTTCTGTCTGAGAGAGACAGAAGGGTCCCAAGTGGGTTGCCCCGGTTCTGTCTTTTCCAGGGGCTTTTATAGAGTAAAATCATGGGTCCAAGGTGAGGAAGACTGGGAACACACAAAGCGATGGGCATAGGTGGGACGTAACTATAGTTAGCCCATAAGATCAATAGTTCTGGGAAAACTGATTAAATCGGGGACAAATGGGGAAGCAGGTCACGCAGGAAGCCGTGACCTTTCCCCTAGAAGGATGGGATGGTGACTCCAGAGTGAGAGGGAACTAATTAGAATCTCGGTCCCCAGCATGTGGGTGTGTTTGATCCTTTTTTTTTTTTTTTTGTCTTTTTCCTTTTAATCGGTATCAGGGACCGAACTCAAGACTGTCTGCTTGCACTGCTTTCTGTTGGGAGTCCTTGAAGCAGGAAATTGGCCACGTGCGCAAGGCTGGAGCAAAACCATTCCGAGAACAAAGAGCCCCTGGGGCAGCCACCTGAGGCCCCAAGACTTCTGAACAGTGGGTTGCTAGGACAGCAGGGCGTCCTGTGATGTTAAGTTGCTAAAAGGTATAAATAAATGCCCCTGCAGGGAGGAGCCAGCACCTTTCCTCCCCTCAGGACCTGCCCCAGCTTTGCCTCTTCTTTGTCTTCCTTTTGGGGTCCTTCACCCCAAAAACCTTAAGGGCAGTTTTCACATTGCACAGTGTGAGGGCTCCATAAGTATTTGTTAAGCCCTGCACGATGTCGAACACCTGTAATCCCAGTACTTGGGAGGCTGAGGCAGGAGGACCACTGAGAGTCTGAGACCAGCCTGGGCTTCAGAGTGGCTTTAAGGCCAGCCTTGACTATGTAGAGAGACCCTGTCTCAAAACCCCCAATAAATAAGTACTTCTGAGTGATGAGATGAGCTTTATCATTTCAGCGCCATCAGACCCTGACACAGGACGCAGAAGGAAGAGCTGACAGTGTGCCCACAGCAGGACGCCCAGGGGCATGAGAGGGAAGTGTTGTTCAGGGTCCCGGCAGAAAGGGCTTTGTGGGAGAGATGGTCGGCTTCACTGGGACTGGAGGATGGAACTGTCACTCAGGGAGCAAGATGAGAGGGAGGAGAGAGGTGAGGCATGCTGGCCTGGGGGCTGCACAGTGCGGTGGTCAGTGGTGGTGAGGGGAGGAGGTTACACTAGGCTCCCGGCATGGGTGGCCTTGACTGTCCGCTAATGGACTCGGACTGGTTTATTAGTGAGGGGAGAGGGGAGGGAGTTTAGCTGGGAGCTGAGCTCTGGAAAGATGACCTTGGTAGATGCTGGAAGGGCTGGGCTGGGCTGGGCTGGGCGGGAGTCTTTGCCGGGGACTGTGGGGTGGGGGCAGCTGTCCTGGCCACTCTGCCCGTGTCACTCTGGCTGCAGCACTGGGGCTCTGTCTCCTGGGCTGGCTCTGCTCTGGCCTGCAGCTTTCCTGGCAGACGTCCCTGTGCTCTGCCTCTGCACTCTGCTCTCAGCCGCTGCCCTCTGGGGGGCACTGCCGGCCCCCACACTCCTTGCATCCTACATGCCTGGATGCCGGGACACCAGCACCCGGTGGTTGGACCTAAAGTCCAACGCCTGCTGGAGTAGTGGCCTTCAGCTTGGCTTTGCTGACCAACCCTGGACGCGTCTGCAATATCCATGCTGTCCCAGGCCGGAGCAGACAGGACTTGCTCACGGGCAGAAGGGGGGTCTTCCCTGGGTGTGGCGGTGGAGGTCGCAATCCCAGGACTCTGGGAGGCTGGGGCAGGAGGATGGCAAGTTTGAGCCCAGGCTTGGTAATTTAGTTACTTAGCAATTCCCTATATTAAAAGTTTTTTTAAAAAAAAAAAGACAGGTGTGGTGGCACATTTGTGATTCCAGTACCCGGGAAGTGCGCTCTAAAACAAAATGGCACAAGAGCTGGGCGTGGTGGCGCAGCACTCAGGAGGCTGAGGCAGGAGGAGCCGAAGGCCCAGGCACTGAGCACCACACGGGGACCCTGCTGGCTGGAGGCCAGCTCACCCCCAGCTCCGCCCGGCCGAGGACCCGGGAAGGGGCGGACTCTGCGCAGGCGCAGCACTGCAGCAGGAGCGTTTAGGCCCGGACGCCTGTGTCCTTGGGACCCAGAGAGGCACCCAGAGGGGGACTCCACTGCCTTCTGAAAACACGGCATCCTGAACGCGCAGCCAGAGGATGACTTAGCTAAGCTGCGGCCAGGCTACCGGGGGCTGCGACTTAAGATGTGAGCTGCAGGGGCTGGAGATTTAGCTCAGTGGCATAAGCGCCTGCCTTGCAAGTGTGTGGTCGTGAGTTCAATCCCTGGTACCGATAAAAAACGAAAAAGACAAAAAAAAGGAAGATGTGAGCTGCTAGGGTCTAACACAGAGGATTGCAAACAGTGTGAGGAAAGGCGTCAAGGTGGTGGCCCAGGCTGTCATCCCTCGCCTTGGGAGGCAGACACAGGAGGATCAAAAAACAAAACAAAACAAAACAAAAAACTTCTAAAAAAAGGCTTGAGGTTGTAGTTCAGCGTGAAGAGCCTGGGATCAGTTCTCAGTACTCCCCCCCCCCCACCGCCCTCCCCAAAAAAGGAAAGAAGAGAAGAGTATCAAGTGTTAGTTTTTGTTCTGGTTATATGTTGAAATACTACTTTGGATATATTGAGTTAAATGAAATGTGTTATTAAAATAAACTTTGAAAAAAAATTTTTTTGAGACAGGATCTCCCTATGCAGTTCAGCTGGCCTTGGGGTCACTTGGTAGCTCAGGTTGGTCTTGAACTTGCAGCAATCCTCCTGCCTCAGCCTCCCAAGTGCTGGGATTACAGGAGTGAGCCACTGGCTCAAACAGTTCTTTGTACTTTTAATAGTATGGCTACTCTGAAATCGAGAGTCATTTATGTGGCCTAGATTACCATTTTACTGGACAGAACCGCTGCAGAAAGTTCATGTTATTTTCTATTGCAATAATAAAACACTTCTGCCTCCTCTGGTTTTTCTGAATTTTCTTCCTTATAGGGAACCTGCCCCATGTGTGCTAGGAAGAGATTCAAGCTGTAAGAAACAGGTTAATGCACCTTTATCTGTGGCCAGGGGTTGTTTATCTGCGGCTTGGCCTTCCACGGGGATGTGGTGTAACTGCAGGCTTGTTTTAATAGCCCGGTGTTCTGTACAGTTTGCATGTTATAAAAATTAGTGAGATGAAAAAATCTTAAAAGGATATATTATTTGAGGCCGTTAAAAAGCAAGGGAGACAAAGAGGAGTCTCATGTTACTAACTTCCCTGTCGCGGATGGATGCAGAGGCCCAGCCTCTGCGCAGAGGGGGACTTCGGTGTCACCCCTCTCCCAGGAGAGCAGGAAGCCCATGGCTGGGCTGTCAGTCTGCTGTCGCATTTGGTGAACAGCGAGTCCCTGTCCTGGGTCCCAGTGAGGGGCTTCCAGTTTGCTCTTTCTTCTTGCAGTCCGGTGGAAATCGTAAAGTTTGGTCACAACACTGACTTTTAGCTTCATTTGCACCTTCCGGGGTCCCACCAACAAACCCGGGGAGTCCTACAAACCTGCTGCGGGTTAGCGCTGCCCGGATGTGAAGAGTGCTCGGGCTCTGCGCACCAAAGGGAATGGACAACTGTAATCCCAGCACTCAGGAGGCTGAGGCAGGAGGATCACTGCAAGTTAGAGACCAACCTGGACCATACGGTGAGCCCAAGGCCACCCTGAACTGCGTGATGAGACCTTGTCTCAGAAAGACAAAAAATAAAAAAATAAAAAAAAATAAAGAATGAAAGAAAAAAAGTGAACTCTGCCCTGGGTCCGAGCATGGCTTAGCAAGTCCTGTGTTTTGCAAGGCTCTTTGCCTTTAGGAAGCAATCAGTTTGCTTCCAAATGGTGCTGATCTATTTTTTTTAAAGAAACGAGCAGAGAGCAGAGTCTACTCACTGCCTTTTAAGTGTAAGCAAGCAAACAAGCCATCAAACAAACAGAAAACCCAGAAGTCAGATTATGGCGAGGTGATCCCCCAGGGGAGAGCTTTGGCCCAAGCCCAGGCACCCCCCTCCTGGTCGGCTGCTGACTCCTGCCATCCCCATCACTCCTGTGACACTGCAGGGCTGGGCAGAACCAGGACTCTAGGGGAAGGTGACTTCCTCCTCGAGCCCTGCAGACCTGCACTTCCCAGGAGCAGACGGCTCCTGAGGAGACACTCACTTAACTTGGATTTGTCCCTTTTCCCTCGGCTCAGAATCCTCAGATTTCTGTCTGAGCTCTCTTGGCTTCATACTTAGTCAGCATGGAAGGAGCTCTGACCTCGAGTTATCGTTACCAGTGCCAAGAAAAGGAGCGGACTCTGGGGTCACTCAGTCCTGACGTGCCCAGGACCGAGGACATCCAGCTACACTTTGGGAGTTTTGTGCTTGTGAAATCAAACTAGATTTCTGCTTTGTTTGTATTTTTTGGTTTTTGAGGCAGTGTTTCACTATATGGTTCAGATGGCCTTGAACTCACTGTGTAGCCCAGGTTGGCCTCAAATTCTCAGTGATCCTCCTGCCTCAGCCTCCTGAGTGCTGGGATTACAGATGTGCACCACTGTGCCTGGCTTTTTTTTTTTTTTTGAGGTAGGGTCTCACTGTGTAGTTCAGGCTGGTCTTGGACTTGCAGTGATATTCCCGCCTCAGTCTTCAGAGGGCTGGAATTACCGTGCTGGGCTCTAGATTTCTTTTTAATAAACTGCAGAGTTCTGGGTTGCAGCCATTACCACCGCTTTACCAACCTGCCTGGGCCGTGTAAGGCGGAGGGGAAAACAGTCACACACTCTTTACCTGAACAGTGGAAATTCCGTGAGACCCCTTTCATCCATATAAAGGGAGAAGATGCCCAGGACTGCAAAAATCAGTACGATGCGTTAACCAATTGTACCAGTACTGCAACATAGACGGATGGGGGCTGGGGATTTAGCAGGCATAAGTGCCTGCCTTGCAAGTATACGGTCATGAGTTCATCCCCGGTACCGATTAAAAAAAAAAAAGTAGACAGATGGATAAATAGCAGGCCAAGGAGTGGTGTGCGCTTCTAGAAATATGAGGCTACTTGACATTAGGGCATATAAGAAATATACTGAGGGCTGGGGATTTAGCTCAGTGGTGTAAGTGCCTGCTTGGCAAGCATGAGGTCGTGAGTTCGATCCCCAGTACCGCAAAAAAAAAAAAAAAAAAAAAGCAAATACACTGGTACTCTAAAAAGGCAAGACCATCAGAATTATCATGGATTTTTGGCACAAACCTTAGAGGCCAGGAGAGCTTGAAGTGAAGTTTTATAAGCCCTAGAAGAAAGCAGTTGTTCACTCAGACTTCTGGGCTTTTTTTGTTTTGAGAATCAAACTCATAACCTAGTGCTTACGAGGGTTAGGGTTACAGTTAAGGTAAGAGCTATATCCTGGGCCCTGTTCACTCAGACTTCTGTGGCCCTGAAAATTATCCTTCAAACTGAAGGAGAAGTAAAGACTTTCCACCAGAAAGAAATCCTGTGGAAAGAAATCCTAACGAGGTCCATGGCCCTTAAACCAGTGCTGCAGGAAATAAGGGAATCCAAGCCAGAGCCAGGGAGGCCAGCAGCCCCAGAGAGCCCAAGAA